GAAGAAGAAGAAGAAGAAGAAGAAGAAGAAGAAGAAGAAGAAGAAGAAGAAGAAGAAGCAGTAATCATTGGCATCTTAGAACTGCAGAGCTGGTAGGGACCCTATGGATCATTGAGTCTAGCTCCTATTAAGCAGACACAATGGGGAGTCAAACTCCCAGCCTCTGCCTCTGCAGCCAGACACCTAAATCACTGAGCTATCCAGCAGTTCTAAGCTTAATACACTGTCTATACTATCAGAATCAAGGGGAACACTACCAGAAATTCTATCTGTTGTACAATCAAGAGAATCAACAGATTTTCAAGTAGGTAAGGAAGCTACCATAATTTTCTTGCATGCATGTGATTATCTGTCATTTCTTCAGATATCTGAGAGCTCCTATGACACTGGACATTTCCCAGAGAATGAGATGTGACCTTTGCACGTGTCTTTTGCCCTCTCAGCTTCTCCTTTTCAGCTTCCCCTGTATCAACACGCCAGCTCACTGACTGTGCAGTTACCTGAACATAAAGCAGTCTGTCCAACCTCTCTTGATCAAGCTGCAACTTTTCCTCTCGCTGGCGAGCATTGAGCTCTTGGAGACGCCGAAGTTGCTGCTGTCTTCTCTCCTGCTTTTCTTCAGAGGTGAGGGTGCTCCCCAAAAGCTTATTTGAAAAAGGCAGCTGCATCTTGTGCACGTTGTTCTCATAATATTCAGGCGATCTCCACTTTTGCATCTCTGTTCATATGGGTGTGAAAGCACAATGAGATCTCTTCTTTCCTAAGTGTATTAAACACATTCCAGCACAGATCTCTTGGGAAAGTTTGTACTTGTGGACATTAAGGGGAAGGAACCGTGGTGGAGATGCACCTAACACCCCTGGCCTGCTAACCTCCCTAGTATTTTCAAAAGAACAACTATTGTAGAAAGGAGCATTTAACAGATAGATCCAGTTCCAGAAATGGGAAAAGTTTCCTGGCAATGCTAGCCAGAATATTTCAGGAGATTTTCTGATCTTTGACCAAGTTATAGGAGAGATGAAGGACAAGGAAAGGCACAGGGTGTTTATATCTATGACGTTTGTTCCAAGAAGAGTATGCTATGAAGTGAGAAATAGCAAATGGAAACTCCAAAGTCCAATTTTGCTCCCTTAAAAAAATGCAACCCCAATGCAAAACTGTAAGCAAGCAAGGATGCAAGGGGACCCTTTAGATCAGTGGTTCATTACCTTTGGCTCCCCAGGTGTTCTTGAACTAAAATTCCCAGAAGCCTTTCTCCACTAGCTGTGCTGGCTGGGATTTCAGAGAATTGTAGTCTAAGAACACCTGGGGACCAAAGGTTGGGAACCACTGCTTTAGATGGAACTTGTTGGTAATGCAGAGTAGAATAAAGAGCCTTCCAAAACATTTTTAATACTGTAAGCTGCCTTGGATCCTTAGGAGAAAGGTGGCATATAAATATTTGAGACAGAGAGCTAGATAAAACTGGATATGACTACTAGATCCCATGGTTCATTCAGTTCCTCCAACTGAACAGAGGCCCCATGAAATCAATAGGAAAGAAATCATGTTGTGTTTAATTTTCTTCCACTGTTCTCAGCAGACAACAAATTCAAACAAATTAGTTTGGAGTCAATCCATTGTGTTTTACTAATTTACATTTCTAAAGTACACCTGATGATTAAATGCATTTACTCATACTCATCACCGGATATTAGTTGCATTGACTTTGGAAGCATGATGGGTTGGTTTAGATGAATGTTCCAACATTTATGCAGAGTCTAAATAGACTGCTGCAGGAAATTTTATTTCTTAAGATATGTTGTTATAGTAAAATACAAAATTTTGCAATTAGAGGGACGCACTCACATACACGTATGTGCAATATTATGTATATATGTATGTTTTATAAAACGTAACAGGAAAAACAAGAAACAAAAGCTAGGATGATGTAGTGGACAGTGTTAGACTAAAACTCAGGAAACCTGTGTTTATATCCCCAGTCTGCCCTGGAAGACATGGCACTGGGACATGGCACTGAAAAAATGCTTCTTATCACATACTTCAAAAAGGCTGCTATAACACAAAAGGGATGTGGCAGCACATACCAACCACAAACAGAAAAAAAAAGACCCACTGAGCATTGCTTTGTCTGATTAGGACACACACACCCCTTTGGCCATGCAGGCCATGAGCTGTTGGTTAACTGGAAAAATTGCTCCAAGTTCACAAAAGCTGTCCTCACCAGTTTATGCTCATGGTTATTCGGTTTTATTTTTAAATTCTAATTTTAAAAATTGCTACATGTGTAGCTATTGTACATAGTGACAAATCAGTATCATGAATAAATAAGATAAGAACCATGAAATTTGAATTAAAACTGCATGACAGCTTTTGATACCAATCCTCACCTTCTTTGTAATCCTCAGCAACATAGCTGTGTTCGTGGAGTATTTCCTCCACACGGCTAAGAGTGATGGCAGCAAAATGCCCGGGATATTTTAGCTGGAGAAGACGCTGGAGATACATGGCTGCCTGGCATCCTCCAAGATTTATGCGCTTACAGTTCCTAGCATCCAACCTACAAAGAAAAGCAAGTCTGAATATGACCCAGGAAAAAGGCATTTGTTAAATTCATCCTACCACAGATCTCAGTAAGATCATCTTGGCTTTTCTAATCCAAATTCTAAAAGCCTTTAAAAGAACTTCCTAGACTTTGTACATAGCCAATGTTGCTGTCTGTTATATACACTACTGTACATATACAGACAATGTTTAAAGATAATCAGTCTGTATACTGTAGGGGGGAAATTATTTTAAAAAGACTAGACTATGCCAAGGATTTTCAGTGACCAATAATTTCTTTGAACAAATCCCACAGAACAAATATATGGTCAAAATGATATTATTCAGAACAGGATATCTAGATTATTTTAATATCTGCAATGTTTTCACAAGTATGCATGCAGCCTGTAAAATACAAGATATATTACTGAACCGTATCTTATTTGGAGCAGAAGTGCAATTGTGTTAACGTTCACCTGCTCCGGCAACCTCTCCTCCCCAGTCAATGTCACCAGTCACACAACTGATCTTGCAACTAGTGAGAAACCAGCTGTGCAAGGAGGAGCCTACGGGAACAGGAGGAAACCCCATGTAATTGCCTTTCCACTGTGTGCCATGAACAGGATGCTGATCTCAATGTTTCCTTTTATCTGCATGTTCAAATGAAATTGAACAAGTGTCTGTATCATATGGTGAGCATCTTTAATTAGCTTTCAGGAACTGGGAATCCATAAAGCAGAAATAAAAACTGCTATGCATGTCCATACGTAAAAGTTCTCCCCTCACTCTAGAAGACAGTCATAAACTGCTGAGGTGGAATGGAAAAAAAAACAACAACAGCAAAGATTACAAAGGCAAGCTTTCCCTTAGTGACTGGCTGTCCGAGACGGGTTTTTAAATGGATTGTTGTGCCTTGTTGCTTTAAATGTGCTTTTGATGATGATTTTGTTTAATGTTTTAGGGTGATATTTGTTTCTTTTAAAAAAAATTTGCACACTTCTTTTTTTGCTTTTAAATATTGTCTTTTATTGATATAAGCCACCTTGAATCCTTTTTAAAGAGGATGGCGAGGTAAAAATATTTTAAATAAAAATAGATAAAAAATAAAATTACTGCAAATTACTGGTCTTCCCAACATGTTTCAAAAAACACAATTTTTATCAAGGAAGAATAAGCATTCCCTTGATGAAGACATACTTCATTGTCTTTATCTGATCCTCGAAATTAGCCCTATGAAGTTCATTAATTCAGTAGCTTTTTAAGTGGGCACCTACTCTCCCAAAAGAGTTTCCAATATAATTGCACAACAAATTCAAATTATTATTATTATTAGAAGAACTGACAGTAAAAGGATGACAGTAACCACACAGGAGAGATACTGTAAAACCAAAATAATTGACAGTCAGAGTGCAGTAGCTGGTCACAAGCAAAGAAGAGGAATCAGCAAACAGAACTCTGATACACAGGAGAGATACTGTAAAACAAAATAATTGACAGTCAGTGCAGTAGCTGATCACACGCAGAGAAGAGGAATCAGCAAACAGAACTCTGATTAGCCAAGTGCTAATAGGATTTCTCCTGAGTTTCCAGAGAACCTTGAACTAGGCCATCCATGTGAATACACACAGCCAATGAATTATCCTCCCTCGGGAGAAGATGGCTATCAGAGGCCACCTACCCTGCTAAGGTTGGATTCCCTTTCTCAATACTGACAATGGGCAAAATCATGTTGCATAAAGTTATACCAGAATAAACCTGATCCAGCACTGGAAACAGTTTAAACAAATTAAATACTTCCTATCTCCCACGCCCTTAAGGATCCGAGGCTCCCTAGGGCTCCCTTTTGCTCCAGGGAAGCCTTTGGAAGCCTCACAAAACGAGGGAGGGGTTAGGAGTTAACAGTAAACAAAATTGCCTCCATCAGGACTACCTGCAGAGATTTGGTGGCAAATGCTGACTACTAAAGGCTTCCCCATAGTCTGTGGCTCCCAAAGGCTTCCTAGGGAGGGCTAAGGAGCCTTGGTTGTTTAATTTGCAATTTTATGGGTTATTGACTACTAAAGGCTTCCCTATAGTCCTGTGGTTCCCAAAGGCTTCCTAGGGAGGCCTAAGGAACCTTGGAACCTGAAGGAATGGACAGGAAGCTTTTGATTTACAGTACTTAAATTTGGAACCTGAAGGAATGGAGAGGAAGCTTTTGATTTACAGTACTTAAATTAATCATTTCTGGCAACAAGTCTAGTTTATGCCAGTGTAACTTTACACCAACAGGATTTTGAAAGTCACTTTGAACTGCAGAAAGACTTTTCCCCCAAGACTTTAATGGACTATTCTCCTAAAGCCCAGGTTCTGGCAATGTTGAGCTCAAAATTTTAATAACATCTCCCCTTCTTGCAGAACTAATTGGGAGTTTTTACATTCCGTGGATGCTCCCCATGAAGGAGCTAAAAGGGATAAGGAAATATATCCTTGAATGTCCTGATTTTTCTCCTGAAGATCCTTTCCCCACAAACTGTAGACTCTTCCTCTGATACCTGTTATTTTAACACTGTGAGATGCTTTGAGCCTTTTCAAGAAAAAAGGTCTAATAAACTGAAACAAAAACAACACATGTTCTCTTCTACTGTGTGTGCTTATGTTTAGGGAAATATGGGTTCTATTTTTAAACAAGCTTATACTCAGAAACCCAACTAGTTAGAACAGCTTCTATCCTACTATTCCAGCAAAACATAGTCAAACATGCACTGACATTTTTCCAATCTTCTGCTCTAATTCTGTTTTCTGCCCTGGACATTATGAGAAGTTTGTGAAAGTCTGACACCAAACTAAGCACAAAACAACTTATTTAGAAGAGGACGAGAAACTTGGGTAAACTGCACCCAGCCTTGAAATTAGAATTAGCCTTGGAATTCATTCCGATTTTCCTTTTGCCACTATGACTCTGCAGGGAGCTTAGCCTCCATGCTCCCTTCTGTTCTCCGATGACAGGAATCTTTTCTTTCTCTCTTTCTCTTTTTTCCCTACCTTACGTCTTTCTTGCTCTCACATCCTGCCCCAAACCTCGGAAGGCTTGTTTTTAATAACTTCTTTCAGTGATACTGATTCCTTTAGAGTTGTGACCCTAGATATTGTCCCTCTGCATCCTTGTCTATATAATGCCAAGCCATGTCTTTTTCTCTGAAACAGAACACTTTCAGATCCTGGATTCTACTCTCGAAACAGGATGAAAGTAACTGAACATGGAATCATTCCATGCAAGGAAATTGTTAAACACGTGTATTAATGTTAAAGGAAGCTGGAGTGCACTTTGGGGGGAGGGGGAGAGGAAATAAATTATTAAACATAATCCCTTTTGAGTAGTGCTTTAAGCCACAAATCAATTTACTTTAAATAAAATCCATTCTGTTAGGGAAAAAAAACCTAATTTGCTTATAATCTCCTATATTTATGCATTCCAGAATATGTGAGAATTCATTTGAATCTCGAGAACACACTCATTGACAGGAATTGTGATAAAAAAACAGACCCTAACCCTAGTACTCCTTAACTTAAACTGGACCCAGAAACAGGCAGCCAGTACACATGGCACAGGTAGGTTAAATATGACCCAAACACTTAGCTCCAGTAATTGTTCTACCTGCTGTATTCCAGCAGCCATTTCGAGGGACAGTCTTAAAAATCTAGGCTGGATGTAATCAACATAGGCTATTGAAGCAAGGTATGACTTTCTTATGTAAGACTACAGTTAGCAAAATACACTTCTAGCCACCAACACCACCTGTGTCTCCACAGAGAGCATTGAGGTCAAGAAAACCCGAAACTGTATGTGTGCCTCTTCGGCAGATCAGCCCTATTGAGAAAAAGTTGCACATCTCCATACAATTGGGATTTTCCGACTCACAACACTTGTCTTGTCTGGATTTCAGCTGGTCTGCAATTAATAAACCCCAAACTATCCTCAAATATATATTCTATGCTTCCTCTTACTTACTGGGATAACAAGATGGAAAAAAAGATCAAGCTGATGTTTACATATAGGTAACATTTCAGGCAAAGCCTTTGAATGAATACACTCAGCAGTTTCACACAGGTATTGCTGAAATCCTGTTGTGCAGCTCCATCTGTGTAACAGGGATGACATCACCACCAGTAGCAAACTGCTGCTGATTAAAGGCTTCATTTGTCCATTTCCATGTGCATGCCACTTCATCTAATTGTATACAAGTCGCTTGCAGTTCAAAACTACCTTTAATATGCAGAACTGATTAACAGAATTTCAGTTATTAGACACAAATGGAGAAGATGAAACTTTGATGAACTCCAAGTCACAAGAAATGTAAAAGTTCTCTAGCACTACTTTCTGGATTTTATTCTCAAAACAGGAACAGAACCAAAACCCTCCACGTAAAAACTGTTTGGAAGAATGCCAGAAGGATGCACTCAATCTATGTCCAAAAGCCAGCCTAAGCGCCTACAACAAAAAAGAAACCTGTTCACTAATACGTAAAATAGTGCATTCAGTTTCACAGCTTACACTTACCTGCCATCTAACACTGGCAATATGTGTGTACACTGATATCCAGAAGAAACAATGAGACCACTGCAAGGCCAGCCTTGCTTTTTGTTGTGATAGAAACTGTACAAACTGTCCACACCATAAGAAACCTTGGGTACTTGATAACATTCAAATAAGAGCTCTGACATCATTTGTCTTGAATAGAGAGGGTTGCAGACAGCTTCTGTGACCACAACTGGATGATCAACACAGCCCTATAAGGAAGGTGAGGTAGGAGAAAAACGTCAGAGAAATTCCAGCACCTAGTAAAAAAGAAATCTACATTTTGATACAGATATGGACATGGTAGAGCCCTACAAAAACATGGAACCAAGACACAAAGTTTTAAAACTCTTGTCTTCGTACACAGAAATATAAAATACTTTTGCAACTTTGATACCTGCCATTTAACAATTTAACAATTCTCTGTTGCTATATGATATCAAGTTGCTTTTCTATGGCACCCAGTCTGCTTTCAAATAAGAGATTAAGAATAAGAACATATACAGTAAGACTGCCTATACCTGTGGGATTGGTATCCATAGTTTTAGTTATCCATTGTTTACTACAGGCCTATATACAGCATACAAAGAGCAGGCCTTTGAGCCTTTGTCCCACCTCCTTGTATGTGGTATATATAGGGTTCACTAATATCCATGGTTTCAGGCATCTGCAGTAGATCATGGAATGGATTCTCTGCAGATATGGGAGTCCTACTGTATAGCATAGGACAAGGGGGCTCCATTTATCCAGAAATATGCTTATATGCAATTGTAGGTATGTAGGAGCACTCCACAAGTCAGGTGTATATGCACATATGTGTGTGTGTGTGTGTGTGTGTGTGTGTGTGTGTGTGTGTGTGTGTGTGTGTGTGAAAGAAA